TAGTTAAGTTGTAGTAGTTGTAGTAAGCAGTAGTAGTAGTAGTCGTAGTCGTAGTCGTAGTAGTAGTAGTAGTAGTAGTAGTAGTAGTAGTAGTCGTAATAGTAGTAGTCGTAGTAGTAATAGTAGTAGTATAGTAGTAGTAGTAGTAGTAGTAGTAGTAGTAGTAGTAGTAGTAGTAGTAGTAGTAGTAGTAGTAATGGTCGTAGGTGTAGGAGTCGTAGTAGTAGTGGTTGGCGTCGTGGTATTGATAGCAGTGGTAGTCGTCGTCGTCGTTGTCCTCGTCGTCGTCGGCTTAACATTCGTAGCAGTAGTCGTCGCAGTAGCTGTAGCAGCAGTAGCAGCATCAGCCGTAGCAGTAGTAGTAGCAGTGGTCGCAGTAGTAGTAGTAGTAGTAGTAGTAGTAGTAGTAGTAGTCGTAGTAGTAGTAGTAGTAGTCGTAGTAGTAGTAGTAGTAGTAGCAGCAGTAGTAGTAGTAGTAGTAGTAGTAGCCGTAGTCGTAGTAGTCGTCGCCGTCGTAGTAGTAATCGCCGTAGTAGTGCTAGTCGTAGTAGTAGTCATAGTCGTGGTAGTAATAGTAGTAGCAGGGGTCGTAGTAGTAGTAGTAGTAGTAGTAGTAGTAGTAGTAGTAGTAGTAGTAGTTGTCGGCGTTGTAGAAGTAGTAGTAGTAGAAGAAGTAGTAGTAGTAGTAGTAGTAGTAGTAGTAGTAGCAGTAGTACTTATATATTATTAGTAGCAGTAGCAGTAGTAACAGTAGTAGTAGTAGTAGTAGTAGTAGTAGTAGTAGTACTTGTATATTATTAGTAGCAGTAGCAGTAGGAACAGTAGTAGTAGTAGTAGTAGTAGTAGTAGTAGTAGGAGTAGTAGTAAGTAGTAGTAGTAGTAGTAGTAGTGTAGTGGTAAGTAGTAGTAGTAGTAGTAGTAGTAGTAGTAGTAGTGGTAGTGGTAGTAGTAGTAGTAGTAGTAGTAGCAATCGTCGCCGTCGGAGTTTTAGTGGTAGTAGCCGCTGTCGTGGTACCCGTAATAGTAGGAGTAGTAGCAGTAGTAGTGGTAGTAGTAGCAGTAGCAGTAGTAGTAGTAGTAGTAGTAGTAGTAGTAGTAGTAGTAGTGGTAGTAGTGGTAGTAGTAGTAGTAGTGGTGGTGGTAATCGCTGTAGTAGTCGTAGGATGAGTCGTAGTAGTAGCAGTAGTAGTAGTAATAGTAGTAGTACCTGTAGCAGTAGTAGCAGTAGTAGTAGCAGTAGTAGTAGCAGTCGTAGTAGTAGTAGTAGTAGTAGTAGTAGTAGTAGTAGTAGTAGTAGTAGTAGTAGTGGTGGTAGTAGTAAGAATAGTTGTAGTTGTAGTAGTAATAGTAGTAGTAGTAGTAGTAGTAGTAGTAGTAGTAGTAGTGGTGGTAGTGGTCCTAGTAGTCGTAGTAGTAGTAGCAGTTGCAATCGCAGTAGTAGTAGCCGTCGTAGTAGTAGTGTTAGTAGGAGCAGCCTTAGCACTAGGAGTATGTGTAGACGTAGTAGTGGTTGTCGTAGCAGTAGTCGTAGTAGTAGTTGTAGTAGCCGTCGTCGACGTAGTCGTCGTCGTAGCAGCAGTCGTAGTAGTAGTGGTAGTCTTAGCAGACCCAGTAGTCGTAGTCGTAGTAGTAATAGTAGTAGCATTGGTAGCAGCAGCACTAACTGTAGTAGCAGTAGTAGCGGTGGTGGTGGTAGTATAAGTAATAGTAGTAGTCGTAGTAGTAGTAGTAGTAGTAGTAGTAGTAGCCCTTGTCGTCGTCGTCGTAGTCGTAGTAGTAGAAGCAGCAGTAGTAGTAGTAGCAGTAGTAGTAGTAGTAGAATTCATTGTAGTAGTAGTAGTAGTAGTAGTAGTAGTAGCAGTCGTAGTCGCAGTCGCAGTCGTAGCCGTAGCCGTAGCAGCAGTAGTAGTAGTAGTAGTAGTAGTAGTAGTAGTAGCAGTAGTAGCTATATTAGTAGTAATAGTAATGGTCGTAGTCGTAGTAGTAGTTGTAGTAGTAGTAGTGGGAGTAGTAGTAGTAGTAGTAGTAGTAGTAGTAGTAGTAGTAGCTATAGTAGTAGTACTAGTAGTAGTAGGGGTCGGGTTTGTCTCCGCAGTGGCCGTAGTAGTCTTAGTCGTCGTCGTAGTAGTAGTGGTAGCAGTAGTAGCAGCAGTTGTAGTAGCAGTAGTAGTAGTAGTAGTAGTGGTCGTATTCGTAGTCGTAGTAGTAGTAGTAGTAGTAGTAGTAGTAGTAGTAGTAGTAGTAGTAGTAGTAGTAAAAGTAGTAGTAGTAGTAGTAGTAGTAGTAGTAGTAGTAGTAGTAGTAGTAGTAGTTTAAGTAGTAGTAGTAGTCGTAGTCGTAGTCGTAGTCGTAGTAGTAGTAGTAGTAGTAGTAGTAGTAGTAGTGGTGGTAGTAGTAGTAGCAGTAGTAGTAGTAGCAGTAGTAGTAGTGGTAGTAGTTGTCGTAGTAGCAGCAGTCGTAGTAGTAGTAGATTTAATAGTTGTAGTAGTACTACTAGAAGTAGCCGTAGTAGTAGTGGTAGTAGTAGTCGTGGTAGTGGCAGTGGTAGTAGTAGTAGTAGTATTAGTACCAGTAGTAGCAGTAGTAGTAGTAGTAGTAGTAGTAGTAGTAGTAGTAGTAGTAGTAGTAGTAGTAATGGTAGTAGTGGTAGTAATAGTAATAGTCGTCGTAATAGTAGTTGTAGTCGTCGTAGTCGGAGTGGTACTATTACTAGTATTCATAATAGTAGTAGTAGTAGTAGTAGTAGTAGTAGTAGTAGTAGTAGTAGTAGTAGTCGTACTGGTAGTAGTAGTAGCAGTAGTAGTAGTAGTAGTAGTAGTAGTAGTCGTAGTCGTAGTCGTAGTCGTAGTCGTAGTCGTAGTCGTAGTAGTAGTAGTAGTAGTAGTAGTAGTAGTAGTATTAGTAGGAGTTCTAGTTAGTAGTAGTAGTAGGTAGTGGTAGTTTCGCGTAAGGTTTTTCTCGTTCCGTCGCCGTTGTTCGTGTAGTGGAGTAGGTGTAGTAGTAGTGTAGTAGGTCGTCGTCAGCAGTAGTAGTAGTAGTAGCAGTTAGTAGTAGTTCGTCGTCGTCGTCGTATATTCGTAGTATTCGTAGTAGTAGTAGTGAGTAGTAAGTAGTAAGTAGTAAGTAGTAAGTAATAGTAGTAGTAAGTAGTAAGTAGTAGTAGTAGTAGTAGTAGTAGTAGTAGTAGTAGTAGTAGTAGTAGTAGTAGTAGTAGTAGTAGTAGTAGTAGCAGCAGTAGTAGCAGTAGCAGTAGTAGTAGTAGTAGTAGTAGTAGTAGTAGTAGTAGTAGTAGTAGTAGTAATCGTATTAGTAGCAGCGGCCGTAGTAGCAGTTAGTATGTGTCGCAGTCGTAGAGGGAAGAGTAGTCGTAGTATTAGGAGTAGGAGTGGGAGTTGGAGTAGGAGTAGGAGTCAAGCTAGCCAGCTCGAGCGAGTCAAGCATGGCATGCCCAGTCCCACCCGCCCTCCCACAACATAAGAAGCAAAGCTGGCACAACTGGGGGCCGAAGTCACACCGGCCAGCCGGTTTGGTACAGCTGATGCGGCCGCGATGGCGGTTGCCGAAGGGAACTGGCGAGCGCGTGTTGAATGCCGCGCACGCATTGCCAGACGAGTCGAGAATGGCCCGGTACACCGCAGGAAGCCTGAAGGCCCCAACTTGTACTGTTTTTTATAAAGGGGGGGTTTGGATGGGCGGGCGCGGGGTGTGCGCCGCATCCCATTCCTGCCAAGCATTTTGCGACGTGGACGACAGGACGTCCATGCTGAGAGGAAAAACGTTGGTGCGCGGCGCCGAGGCGAGAGCGACATGGCACCCCTTCGCGCGGGGTGTGCACCGCGTCCCATTCCTGCCACGCATTTTGCGACGTGACGACAGCACGACCATGTTGACAAGAAAAACAAAAACTGTGTATTGTCTTTTGCAGATTATAATGGGACGGATTGGATGGGCGGGCGCGGGGTGTGCGCCGCGTCCCATTCCTGCTATGCATTTTGCGACGTGGACGACAGGACGTCCATGCGACGGTGCCAATGACGGCGACGACTCTAAAAGGATTTGAGCATGCGCTCGCGGCGACGCGCGCGCATGTCGCCCGCGTGGTATTTTTTGCACAGGATTCGCGGCCTGGGTGCATGACAGAGCATCGCGAGTGCACCGCGCGATGACGTGAAATCGCTGGATTTGACAGAATTCTTAAGATTCCTATGGTTTTCCTATGATTTCAGCAAGAGAGCCGGGCAGGAAAATTGTAGAATTTTTGTGAAAAAACATTGGGTTTTTGATGTTTTTATGTTGAAATGCTTGCAAACACACGGTGTTCGGTAGGATTCTGACATGAACGCGCGCGTGTGCTCTTTGTGGTATTTTTTGCAATGGATTATCGCCGTGGACGACAGGACGTCCATGTCGAGAGGAAAACATAAGAAACATGTTGATTTTGTATTGTTTTTTACAGGTTAGGATGGGACCACCCGGATGCGGCCCCTATCGGCCGGCCTGAGGGGGGAGTTGGAGTATATTCTAATAAGGAATAAGGATAAGAGCAGGAGCAGCATGATTAGCTTAAGCCCACATTGTATCAACGATGCTCTTCACACCCTCCTGTCCCAAGTTTCCTCTTACTCGTGCGTGCAGATTCGATGTTGTCCAACTGCGCGGAGCGCCCCCACCAAACACGAGCGCCCCATGTGCCCGCAATTCTGTCGTGAGCTCCGTTTTGAAAAAAACTGCCCCCCATCTAGGGTTGAACTTCAAAGTGGCGCCCGGCGGCCATCCCCCGTTTAGGGCCGCCCTTCATCCGCGCTGCTGCTGTACATGTTTGAAGTTCCTGATCATACAGTGTAGCAAATTACCAGGCGAGCGCCCCCTTTGGAAGAGAATCCGCCCTCCCTCCGACAGCGACGGCGGCGGTGACGGTTGCGGCGGCAACGACGGCGGCGGCGTCGGCGACGGCGGCGGCGGGACGAGGGTGGCGATGGCCCGTTCCCGCTGCGTTCCAGGCTCCGAGCCGGGCGAGGCCCCCCTGGCGTTCACCCAGGAGTTCGCCATCGACGAGACCGCCACGTTGCTCTTCGAGCCGCAGGACCCTTCGCTGCGCGGCGGCCCCCCTGCGCGGCGCACCGCGCGATGCCGACCGCCGCTCGCTGCAGCGGCGGCGGCGGCGATGCGGCGATCACGGCGACGACCGCCACCACGACGACGGCGACCACCACGACGACGACGACTGCCACGACGACGGCCACGACGACCAGTGCGGCGACGGCCATGGCCATGGCGACGGCGACGGCGACGGCGAAGGCGTCGTCGTTGTCGACGGCCACGGCGACGGCCACGGCGACAGCCACGAATACGACGATGGCGGCCGCGCGGTCTCACCCACCCCGGCCCCAAAGGGCCCCTCCTTTGAGGACCAGCGCCCGACGCAGCCGGTGCGGGTGATCACGCTGGAGGAGGTGCTGCGGGCGGCTGGCGAGGCGTTCCCGGACACAGGGCGGGGGCAGAAAGATACACACCGCGGTCACGGGCGGTTTCTCTCCGTCGACGGTCACCGAGTTCCACGCACCAAAACTGACGATTTGTTTTTTGTTCGACCCCTCCACAGAGACATCGCGGCGTACACCTGAACTGTGAGAGTTCTGCGCGGACTTCTGGGCCCCCCTGGCAGCGCATCTGGCACCGCCTCTGGTGCGCTCCGCGCGCCAGGGGTGGGGGTCACAGCGCCGATCCAAGACATCCGCTCGGACCTCCGAAAGTGTATATCTGTCGCAGGCCTAGAGGTTGACACGAATACCGATATCGGCGGGTGCCTCCACCGAGGGAAGACGACCCCGGTCTCGGTGATGGTGGTAATGTTCGGGCTTCCAGCGTGGCCTGAAAATTATCACCAACGCCAGAATCTAGGATCAGCTTCCTCCGGTTGAGGCAGACCCTGGTGTTGGTGTTGGTGCCCATGCGGATTCTGGCGCCCGTCACCGGGACCCAGGACAATCAAACAAACAGTCGACCCGCGTCGCAAGGATTAGCGACTCTCCAGGGCTACCCTTGCGTCCTTGCCCCTTCGGTTCATCCTTGGCGATTTTCGCTGGCCGGCCTCGCCCGTAAAACGCTGACATGGCCCCCCAGGACCCTCGCGTCCTCACCGCGCATCCTCACGATACGGGCTGGCTGTGCCCTTAGGGGAAGGGATCGGGACCTCTGAGGCCGCGCACTGGAAAGCCGCATCGTCGGACGTCTGGGAAGCTGGCCGCTCGGAACAGAACGGGGACTCCGGGGTGCACCCGGGCCCCTTTGCAGGATGGGCCCCCCATTGTGCATCCCCGACTTGGGTCGACGGTATGGGACACTCTCGAAGAAGGGTTTACCATAGTGCCCGCGAGAGCAGAATGAGCTCACCGGCGCGACTCCGGATCCCACGCCTGCGGTTCTAGTTCCCCCTCCGCCGACCCCAGCGCCCACGCCCCCGACTCCCGACTCCGGCTCCGGCGCTCGATCTCGCCCTTCCGACCTTGGTTGCCCAGAAGTCCCGACTCCAGATTCTGAGCGGCCAAAGTCGACGCCCCAGCGCCCACCCGCTGCACCCGCGTAGGTGCCTTCTGTGGGACTGTCTGTCTGTCTGTGAACATGCCATTGATCGGGAATTGGAACAAACACACTGCCAGTGGCGGGTTGTTGTTCCATCCCAGGACTTGTTGAGGGTCGGGGACGACGTCGGGGCGGTGTGGTGTAGTATACTTGTATTCCCGGGGTCAACGACAAATGTATACACCAGGATCCGCTATACACCGGGATCCGCTTTCCTGTGCGAGTTTGAGTGCGGGGCCGGAAAAAGCGTCGGTGTATAGAGTTCGGCTTGTTAATTGAAAGTTCCACACCATCGGGAATTGGGGTGGCCCTACTCCCCAGTATACCAACAGGAGGGCTTCCGTTGTTTTCTGTTCTCGGCTTCGGCCCCCCCCATGTTCGCGGGAAACTCGCGGCGGGTGGTTCCCGTCATTTCTAGCCTCCGTGGGCCCTCACCACGCCTCTGGACGAAGAATACTCAGGTTAAGTCGGGCGTGTCCCCCTACAGGGGGATTTTCTACGAAAACTAAAAAGTACACCAGAAATTGTAAAAAAAATAATCCAAAACTAGTCGGGGGATTATTCTTTTCAATATTTTTTCAACTTTTTGGGGCATTTTTGGGGTATGTTCTATTTTCCCTCGAAAATCCCCCTGTAGGGGGACACGCCCGACATAATACTCAGGCTGCAGGGCCGGCTCTAGGATACCCATGCGTCCTTCATCTAGGATGCCCTTGCGTCCTTGCCTCTGTGGCCCGTCCTCTGCCGTTTTCACTGGTCGCCGCCGCCCCAAAAAAACCCTACTTCGGCCTCCAAGGGTCCTGCGTCCTCACCACGCGTCCTTACTACACGTTTTGGCTGTACTCGGGCTGCCGAGCCGGCTCCCCTGGGGGGAGGCGGCCTAGCCCTCCGCGCGGGTCCACAGCGTGCCGTGCCGTGCCGGCGCGGCGGCGACCCCCGCGCGGGCGTTCCAGGTGGAGCGCCGCCGGAGGCCCGGCGTCCGCTGGTAGCGTTCAGTTGGGCCTGTCCCCCTACAGGGGGAGTTTCGACGAAAAGTAGAAAATACCCCAAAAATGCATGCTGAGCGTAATTTGAAAGGCGCATCGGAAACTGCTTGGAATTGATCTAGCTTAACATTGCGTGACGATATAAGGTCAGCGCAATGCGCGGAGGAGGCGGAGCATGCACTTGCACGGAGCTTCTCTGTGGTCACTTTTCATGTTCACGGGTTCTGAAAAAAGAAGAAGAAAATACACTAGAAATAATCAAAACATAGTCCAAAAATAGTCAGGGGACTATTTTTTTGAGTATTTGTTCATCTTTTTGGGGTATTTTTGGGTGTTTTTAATTTTTCGTCGAAGATCCCCCTGTAGGGGGACGCCCGACATACCGGTAGCGGCCGGTATCGAACGATCGAGTGTGCCATTCTTGGTTCAAAGATGGGGACGTGAGGGACGGGGTCCTGAGGACGAGGTGCCTCAAACAGTGTACATTCACCCTTGGATCCCTTCGGAATCCTCAGGACCCCATCCTTCAGGGCCCGATCTTTGATCCACCGATGTCAGGAATCCGCGATCCCTCAAGACTGAACAACCCACGCGGTGTCGGAAGCCAGCGCTCAAGTCGTCGCACGAACCTTCCGTGCGGAAGGCCTGTCGTCATTTTCGGCGCCCAGGGGTCCGCTGCGGGCCCCGAGGTCGGTCAAGCACTTTTGGTCTGCAGGTCGAGACCGAGCCTCTTCCGGTTAAGAGCTAGGCGGGGCGCGCAAAGCATTTGGGGAGACAGGGCGCGGGCGGGCGGGGCCTCAGGCGGCCGGAGGGCGCGGGGTGCAGGCAGTGCCGGAGAGCTTGCACAGGAAAAGGTGCGCCTTGGACAGGAGCCGGAGGCGAAGTCCCAGAGGGAGAGCGAAGTGGTGTTGCCGTTGACGGCGTGGTCCGTCAAGCACACGGCTGGGCCACTTCTCTTGGCCAGCGCACCGCTCCGCCGGTTCTGGCCATCCCGCGCGTCGGCGCGACACGCCGTCCACGTCCTGGCCCCCGGGCGTCCACGCGCTGAGTTGCGGCGCGGCGCGCCATCCGCTCGCAGGGCTCCGCGTGCCGCCGGGCCGCCGCCGCGACACGCTATGCAAAACAGGTCTCGGACAAGAATGGCGAACATTGCATGCCGCAGTCATCTTTCACCGCCTCTCCCTCCCCCCAGTGTTCAAAGTCGGCGGTGGGTCCGATGAGCTGCACTTCGACCGCAGTCTCCTACGCCCGTGCCGACTTTGAGTTTAGGGGGGGGGGGAAAGGTTTTGGTAGTTGTTGCCCTCTACCGAAGTTCCAGACTGTATATGCGGGGTAAAGACTGGTCAGGAGCTGGGAAGGTTCCAGAGACTGGTTTTGAGTGGGTTTCGAGGCGTGGGCAGACGCACCGATGCCTATGCCCTTGCCTCGTTTTCGTGCTCCTGGGCCTCCCACGGCGTCCTCGTCTCCGCGGTCGAGGGTACCCGCGCGACGCCTGTCGGAAAGCACCCCAATAGAGGTCTGGGGAGTAGCCGTGTCGGTATTTCTCCTTGTGCCAGTCCACCTTCGGCACGCTTCCTCCTCCTCCTCCTCCTCTTCCTTCTCCTCCTCCTCCTCCTTAGGCCCCAATCGCGGGGCACGCTGCCCAGACATGCTCGCGTCGTGAACAGCAACTCACGAGGGAACTCTTTGGCAGTTTCCGGCCTCCTGGGCCTTCGCGGGGCCTCGGGACAGTCAACAAGACATCTCGGTATGCGAATGGAACCAGTGTTGGTTGGCAAGATTGTCGGGTGCATGACGCGCTTGATCGTCTCTTGCCTTGTGTGTCAACGCCAGTTCGCGATCGAGGAAAACTCCAAGGTCATGGTAGCTCCTCTACGGGTGAGTGAATAGCCTTGGCAGAACTCATTTGCGGACTGTTTCTTTCGTGTCTGGTTGCAGTGTCCTTGGCATTTTGGAAGCTCGTCTCTGGGGAGCCCGTGCTGAAAGAATCAGGACATTGCACATCTGGGTAATGTTAAGTCGGGCAGGTCCCTCTATAAAAGGAATATTCAAAAATAGTAAAAGAATAGCGTAACGACGAATTCTCTACTAAGTTTGACTATTTTGGAGCATTTTTTGACAATTTTTTCCGCCCAGGAGCCGCCGGTCGGGCGGCACACCCGACCTAAGGTTAATGCGTTGACGCTGGTCCTGGCCCTGGCCGGCCTCCTGGCCGAGGATCGGCGTCTGCGCCCTCAGGCCCGGCCCCAGAAGGCGTACACACGCGACACACAAGCACACAGGCACAAACACAAACGCAAACGCAAACACAGACACAGACACAATCACAAACACAAACACAAACACGAACACAAACACAAACACAACCACGAGCACAAACACAATCACAAACACAAACACGAACACACAACATGAACACGAAACACAGACGCAGGCACAGACACGGACACAGACACAGACCCAGACACCGGCACAGACACAGACACAAGCACATACATGGACACGGACACGGACACGGACACGGAAACGGACGAGGACACGCACACGGGCACAGACACGGACACGGACACGCACACGGGCACAGACACAGGTACAGTTACAGACACAGACACTGACACAGACACAGACACAGACACAATCACAGACACAAACGCAAGCACGAACACAAACAGAAACACAATAACCCTTACACATACAAACATACAAACACACACAAGCACACAAACACCCAAGCACACACAAACACACACATGCACACAACACATTCACAAGCATTCTAACACAAACGCACAAACACACAAACACAAAGACACAAACACACAAACACAAGCACACAAACACAAACACAAGCACACGCACAAACACGCAAACACACAAACACAAACACAAGCACAAACGCAAATAGCAACACAGGGTCGGTGTCACAGTCGATCTCTCTGCTTGTTCCCCATATAATGGGGTCCTTGGCCGTTGATGCCAAAACAACAAGCACACAACACCCAACACACAATGGCACAACACACACAAACACACAAACACACAAACACAAGCAAACACACACACAAACACCAACACACAAACACACAAACACACACTGACACAAACACACAACCACACAAACACACAAACAGACACTCACGCACACAAACACACAAACACAAACACAAACACAACCACAACCACAAACCCAAACACACACACAGACACAAACGAAAGCACAAACGCTAGCGCAAACACCAAGACAACCACATCCACAACCACGAACACACAAAAGCACAAACGCACACACACAAACGCAATGCAAGCGCAAACGCAACCGCAAACGCACACTCAAACGCAAACGCAAACGCAAACGTGAGCGCACACGCACACGCAAACGCAATCGCAATCGCACACGCAAACGCAAACGCTCAGCACACACACACACACGCGTAAACGCAAACGGAAACTCAAGCGAAAACGCAAACGCAAACGCAAATGCAAACCCACACGCAAACGCAAACGCAAACTCAACGCGGCCGCAAGCGCAAACGCAAACGCAACTGCAAACGCAAACACAAACACAAGCGCAAAGGCAAACGCAAACGCAGACGCACACGCACAAACACAAACGCAAACGCAAACGAACACACAAACACAAACGCAAACGCAAATTCAAACGCAAACGCAAACGCACACGCATTTGCAAACGCAAGCGCAAACGAAAACGAAACCGAATACGCAAACGCAAACGCAAACGACAACGACAACTAACACGCAAACGCAAACGCAGGCGCAGACGCGAACGCCAACGCAACCGCAAACACAAACTCAAACGCAAACGCACACGCAACCGCACACGCAACCGTACACGCACACGCAAACAAACGCGCACATTCACACGCAAACGCAAACGTAAACGCACACTCACACGTCAACGCACACGCACACGCAAACGCAAACGCAAACGTAAACGCAGACGCAGACGCAGACGCAAACGCAAATGCAAACGCACGCACGTACGCACCCACACAGACAGAGACAGACAGACAGACAGACAGACAGAGAGACAGACAGACAGACAGACAGACAGACAGACAGACAGACAGACAGACAAACATTTAGACAGACAGACAGAGGACAGACAGACAGACAGACAGACTGGCAGACACGCACACACACACACGCACAGACCCAGGACCGGTGTGCGGTCTACAGTAGCCCTGAGGTCCGACGTAGCGAAACATGCATCATCGTGCAAAATAACCGTGCAACCATCTTTCTGCGTCATGATTCGCTCCAGATCGATCTGTGAGGGTCCTGGGGCCCGAGAAAAGGCGAAGACGCCCGGCTCGGAAAAATTGAGACGCCAGGGTCTCAGGGAGGTGCGCGCCGCGTCGATGCGGCGGCGACCCTCCGCGCTGGCGTTCGTCTCTTAACGTTCGACGCATCCAGCTGCGCGGGATCCGCTGGCATCGAGCGGCCGTCGATGCCTGAAAAAGCCGCAGTCGCTCTGGGCGCCGAGCGGTCCAAGAGCTTGTTTTTTCTGGACTCCGGCAAGTTGACTTGCCTGGAGGGGGGGGGGACTTGGACCTGAAGCAAGCCGCAACCGACCTGCACGTGCGGAGACCACGCAGGTCGAAAGGCGCTTGCACGCCAGTGTTCGTCTGAAGAGGGCTGGGGGGCGGGGGCAAACGCCATACAAGCAAGTTTTCCCCCGGATGCTTTTTTATATATGAGTAATATAAAAAAAAACAGGCTCCGAGCGCGGCGTCGGAGGTGCAGCGCCAGCGTCTGCTTCGCTGCGCGGGCCCAGGCCCGTCGCTTCTTGTGGAGATGCCCGCGGCCGCCCGGGCCCGGCATCGGCGCGAGCAGAGCCTCCGGGGGCGGGGCCGGGAGTTCGGTGGGGCTGCAGGTCCGACGTCAGTCGTCGAGGGCTGCCGCTGTGTCGTCGCGCCCTCGCGGCGGCCGCGCGAGCGGTGAGCTCCCGTGGGGCCGGCGGCAGCTGCAGCCAGCCCTCGCCCGCGGGAGCTCGGTGGTGCCCTTCATTGCGCTACTCCGCGGAGGTCGGCGGTGATGCCGCTTCCCTGCGTACTGTCGGGCCGCCGAAGGAGGAAGCCTTCTCGTTGGGGATGGGCTCAGTGTTCCTGAATGGGTGCGCAGTTGATCTCAGGTTCTCCTCGGGTCTGCCGTGGGACATCGAGCCTCAGCTCACGGAGAAGAGGGCCTCGCGCCATGTATTTATAGGGTCCCTCGTGACAGCGTCTCGACGGTACGCGCGCGCCGGCCCTGGGCCTCCTGGCCGTGGCAGACTCATCACCAGAGGCGCCGTGATCCAGACATGCTCGCGTCGAACAATAAGACACGACGGACGAGTTTTGGACCTCCACCTCGACCTCGACCTCGACCTCGACCTCCAGGGGGGGCCCTAGCCGGACCCCCAAACCGCCCGAGACCAGCTCGGGGTGAAACACTGGCCCCGGGGAAGGAATGCAGCCCCAGGGAGCCCGCGGCTATTGAGGACCACAAGACGCTGCATGTCTGTGGACCTTTCTCACCACGCGGGCCCCCGGAGATCTCGTCCCTCTCTCCCGGACCGTCTCTCCATCCTGATGCGTGCGCTCGGCAGTCCTCGTGTGGCCCTCGGGGCCTGCCACGACGTCCCATGATGGCCTCCAAGATGGCCCAATATTGAGTATGTTCAAAGCTGTTGTTGTTAGCGGCGCTAATTATTTGAAGCGACGGCGGATCACTTCAAACCAACCCCCCTCCGTAAGCTCTTTCTTCTCCCTGGGGCGACCTCAATCCCCCCTCCCCCCCCCCTCCCCCCCTCTCCAAGGCGGCCCCAAGATGCTCCCAAGACGGGCCAACAGGCCTCCAAGTTCCCCCCCACAGCTGCCCGGCGCCTCCCGTCGTCGGGGGGCTCTGGGTTCAGCGCGAGAGGGGGGGGGCGCGGGGACGTCGGCCCGTGCCAGCGGGGCCCGACAGCCTCCAGGACATGGGCGCCGCCGCCACCTCCAGCATCTTCCTGCTCAAGCTGGACATCGAGGGCATGGAGCCCGCGGTGCTGAGGCCCCCACCTCCTCCTCCCCCTCCCCCCCCCTCCTCCTCCTCCTCCCTCCTCCTCCCCCTCCCCCTCCCCCTCCCCCTCCTCCTTCCTCCTCCTTCTCCTCATCCTCCTCCCCCGCGGGCCCGCCCCCCCCGCGCCTGGGCTGCGGCCGCTCGGGGCCCCGCGGTGGCCGTGTGGCCGTGGCCGTGCTGGCCGCCCTCTGAGGGCCAGAGAGGCCCAGGAGCAGTCATACTGCCCCCCCCCCCCCCCATCCATGCAGAATCCGAATCGTTTTGAGTCGGGCACGTCCCTCTACAGAGGAGGAATATCCAGAAATAGTCCAAAAATAATCCGAGGGACGATGTTTCTATCACTTTTGACTATTTTTGAATATGTTTCCTGTTTTTTTTTGTTATCCGTAAGGGCTTCGCCCCCTGCTGCCGCCCCCCTCTCTCGGAGAATGGGCCATGGAAGAGCGAAGTCATGAGGCTTTGGCTTCGCCGTGAAGCAGTGTCGGGACCTGTTTGTTTTTCGACCCTGACCCTGATTACGGATCTGCGTGAAGGGTGCCACCGAATTTCAGAAAAGTGGCAAATCCCTTTGTTTTTGGACCCTGACCCCGCTGATCTGCTTGAGGGGTGCCGCCGAATGTCAGAAATGTAGCAAATCCTTTGTGTTTTTGGACCCTGACCCTGCCGATCTGCGTGAGGGCTGCCACCGAATTTCAGAAATGTTGCAAATCCTTTGTGTTTTTGGACCCTGATCCTGCCGATCTGCGTGAGGGCTGCAACCGAATTTCAGAAATGTGGCAAATCCTATTTGTTTTTGGCCCCTGACCCCACCGATCTGCGTGAGGGGTGCCACCGAATTTCAGAAAAGTGGCAAATCCTTTGTGTTTTTGGACCCTGACCCTGCCGATCTGCGTGAGGGGTGCCGCCGAATTTCAGAAATGTGGCAAATCCTTGTGTTTTTGGACCCTGACCCCGCCGATCTGCGTGAGGGCTGCCACCGAATTTCAGAAATGTGGCAAATCCTATTTGTTTTTGGACCCTGACTCCGCCGATCTGCATGAGGGGTGCCACCGAATTCAGAAATGTGGCAAATCCTCTGTGTTTTTGGACCCTGACCCCGCCGATCTGCGTGAGGGGTGCCACCGAATTTCAGAAATGTGGCAAATCCTATTTGTTTTTGGACCCTGACCCCGCCGATCTGCGTGAGGGGTGTCAATTTTTACTTACCCCAGCAATTCAGACAATACGATTTGGGCGTGGTAGAAATGCCCGTTTTGGGCCTCCCCCCTCGCGCGGTCCATCAACAAGGAACAGTAAGCAGCAAGAAGTCAACAAGGAACAGTTAGCAGCAAGAAGCAGAATTGTAACAGTAGAAACTGGAAGCTGCAACTGGTGCAGGAAACTGTGAACCTCCGGCCTACAGCCTGGTTGCTCCACAAGGGGGCCCGGCGGATCTCTCCTCCCAAATCCGCATGTAGGAGGACATGCCCGACCGAAGAACAGTTCGACGCGGGGGTCGCCACGAATTGCATCTCATGTTCTGGCGCTGCTGTTCATGTCTGCCGCTTCTCCTCCCCCTCCCCCCGCACGGCCGCCCTCGTCTTTTTCTCCCTCCTGCACGCCAGACAGTGCGCCTTTCGGCGGCCCCGAAGAGCCACACGCCCGGAGCGGACTGCTCCTGCCTCGCCGCCGACGAACAACAGTTCACCTCTGCCGCATGCTATCCCCTAGCGGCCCCCTTGTGGTGCCCAGGCGACGCGCGCCTGCTACCTTGCGATGCTCCTGGGGCTCGGAAAGGAGAGGGGTCGGAGGTGCAAAACGAGCGTCTCGCGGGAGGCATCCCCACAATCTGGGCGCGACCAGGCAAGTGTCCCGGCTCCCCCTCGGGGTGCTCAAGTGCTATGTCGCTACATCTTGGTGATTATGGGGCTTCTTAGTATGAGTCAGTCTGGATATCAGAAAGAGCGCGTTCCGTGGTCGCTTGGAGGGGGGGGGGTGAAACCGGACCCCCAACCCCCCTTGATGGAGGGGGGGTGGGGTTCGAACCCCCACCCTTTCCTCCCCTGCTTCCCCTCTCCTCGGGCCGGCGCTTGCATCGGCGGCGGCTGGCGGCGGCGGCGGGGACGACAATTTCCTTTTCTGGGCCGGCGCCGGCGCCTGCAGCGGCGGGCGGCGGCGGCGGGGAGCGTCGACGAGGGCGGCGGTGGTGGTGGTGGTGGGTTGTGGTGATGGTGGTGGCGGTGGTGGTGGTTGTGGTGGTGGTGGTGTGGTGGTTTGTTGTGGTGGTGGTGGTGGTGGTTTGTGGTGGTGGGTGGTGGTGGTGGTCGTGGTTTGTGGAGGTGTGGTGGTGGGTTGTGGTGGTGGCGGTGGTGGGTTGTGTGATAGTGGTGGTGGTGTGATGGTGGTTTGTGGTGGTGGTGGTGGTGGGTTGTGGTGGTGGCGGTGGTTTGTGGATGTGGTGGTGGTGGTGGTGGTGGTGGCGGTGGTGGTGGTGGTGGTGTTGTGATTTGTGGTGGTGGTGGTGGTGGGTTGTCCTGCTGGTAGTGGTGGTGGTTGTGGCGGTGGTGGTGGTGGTGTGGTAGATTGTGGTGGTGGTGGTGGTGGTGGTACTGGTGGTGGGTTTTCGTGGTGGTGGTGGCGGTGATGGTGAGTTGTGGTGGTGTTGGTGGTGTGGTGGTGTTGTGGTGGTAGTTTGTGGTGGTGGTGGTGGTGGTGGGTTGTGGTGGTGGCGGTGGTTTGTCGAGGTGGTGCTCGTGGTGGTGGCGGTGGTGGTAGTGGTGGTGTGGTGGTTTGTGGTGGTGGCGGTGGGTTGTGCTGCTGGTAGTGGTGGTGGTTGTGGCGGTGGTGGTGACGGTGTGGTAGATTGTGGTGGTGGTGGTAGTGGTGGTGGGTTTTTGTGGTGGTGGTGGCGGTGATGGTGAGTTGTGGTGGTGGTGGTGGTGGTGTTGGTGGTGGCTGTGGTGGTTGTGGTGGTGGTTGTGTGGTGGGTTGGTGGTGGTGGTGGTGGTGGTGGGTTGAGGCGGTGGTGGTGGTGGTAGTGGTGGCGGTGGTGGTAGTGGTGATAATCGTCGCTGCGTCCCAGCCGTCGCCGGCGCCAGCGCTGGCGCTGCTGGCCGCCGCCAGCGCCGGCGCCGGCGCCAGGGGGGGGGTGGTTGAACCCCACCCCCCCCACTCCTCCGGCGCCCGGGGGAGGTGGGGAGGGTTTGATCAACCCCCCCCTTGGGCTGCGCGTCTTCGCCGTCGGCGCTGCTGGCGGCCGCCAGCGCCGGCGCCGGCGCCGGCGCCGGAGGCGGGGGGGGGTCGGGGGGGGGGGATCGAGGGGCAGAGTCCCACTGGTTTTGATCGACGGCGCCGAGTGTGGGGGGGGGCCCCCCTCCGGTTGGAAACGCGCCGCCGAATGTTCCCAAGGCGAGCGCCCGTGAAACGCGTTCTTTCGGATATCAGTAGGCCTGAGTATTAGAGACTGAGTGCAGGTGAATCTTAGTCCGAGCGGGTCTCATTATGGCTGGGTCTGGGCCTGTTTGGTTTGACTAGGTGGTCCGTCAGTGTGTGTGTGTGTCTCTGTGTCTGTGTCTGTGTCTGTGTCTGTGTTTGTTTATGTGTGTGTGTGTGTGTGGGCGAGAGTGTGTGACGTTGTGATTATCTGAATATGAGTGGATATGAGCGTTGGTGGTCTGGGTATGAGCGAGTTCGAGTTTGAGAAAGTTGGAATGAGAAAGTCTGAGTATGGGTGGGTCTGAGTTTCACTGGTTTGACTGCATGGGGTCTGTGTGAGTGAGTCTGAGTATGAGTTGCTCTGAGTGTGTGGGCCTGAGTGAGGGTGGTCGGATTATGAGTGAGCCTAAGTGTGGTTGAGTCTGAGTCTAAGTGTGAGTGGGTGTGAGTGTGACTGAGTCCGAGTTCGAGCCTGAGTGAGGGAGGAGATGGCATGAGAAGGCGGGAGTGAGGAAGCGGAGGCGTCACATCAATAACAATGTCGAAGATGCCTACGGCGAATCACCGCCGCCCCCTGCCATTTTGGAAGCGCATGCGTGGCCGAAAGTTGTGTTTGAGCTTTGCGAAGTTATCGGGCCACGTGCTCCCCGAGTGGGTTTCGAAAGCCTTCGGGGAACACGGAGTCGGGCGAGCTATCGGACCAGGTGGCTTCCGAGCTTTCGGGTCTCCTAGAGGACATCTTGGAGGGGTCTTGGGCCGTCTTGGAGGCCTCTTGCGGGCCTGTTGGGCAGTCGAAGGCCATCTTGAGGCCATCCGGGGCCGTCTTGCTTGCATCTTGGGGCCATCTTCGCTGTCTTGGAGGCCATCTTGGCCGTCTTGGAGGCATCTTGGAGGCCATCTTGGCCGTCTTGGAGGAGGTGGAGGAGGAGGAGCAGCAGCAGCAGCAGCAGGAGCAGGAGCAGGAGCAGGAGCAGGAGCAGGAGCAGGAGCAGGAGCAGGAGAGGAGGAGGACGAGGAGGAGGAGGTTCAAGGGGAGTGGGAGGATGAAGAGGAGGATTATGCAGACCCCCTGACATCACTGTATTTTCACACCTTGGACTCCCCCGGAGGACTGGCTTTCCACCCCGATCACCTCTTCGACGGCCCCCAGGGCCCGCGGATTGAGGGCCCCCAGAGCCCGAGAGGGTCGAAAAGTTGTCGGCTGTTTGTCCCAGCCATCCTGTGGTGTTGGGTCTTCGTTGTGGAGAGACAGCGCCCCGCGTGTCTCTCCTCCTCCTCCTCCTCCTCCTCCTCGCCCTTCCTCCCCGCCCCTGCTCTCCCCATGTCCACCATTTCAGCGCATCCAGTACGGCGTTTCGTGGCCGCGCAGGGAGCTCCACCGAAGGCCCCAGCGGCTGTGACCACATGCGTCCGCGCCACCCATTACAGCGTGCCGTGGCCCAATCGGAATCTCCAGCGAAGGCCCCAGCGGCTGTGACCACACGCGTCCACGCCATCCATTGCAGCGTTTCGTGGCCCTACAGGGTGCTTCACCGAAGGCCCCTGTGGCTGTGACCACATGCGTCCGCGCCACCCAGTACGACGTTTCGTGGCTCCACAGCAGGGTGCTCCACCGAAGGCCCCAGTGGATGTGACCACATGCGTCAGCGCATGAGAATGCAGGGTCTCGTGGCCGCGTAGGAATCTCCACCGAAGGCTCCAGCAGCTGTGACCACATGCGTCCACGCACGAGAGTACAGCGTTTCGGAGCCCGATAGGGAGTTCCACCGAGGGCGCCCATGGCTGTGACCACATGCGTCCGCGCAACCCAGTACAGCGTGTCGTGGCCCCATGGGAATCTCCACCAGAGGCCCCAGTGTCCGTGACCGCATGCGTCCGCTCCATCCATTACGGCGTTTCGTGGTCCCATAGGGTGCTCCACCGAAGGCCCCACTGGATGTGACCACATGCGTCCGCGCACGAGAGTGCAGAGTTCCGTGGCCGCGCAGGAATCTCCACCGAAGGCTCCAGTGGTTGTGACCACAAGCGCCCGCGCACAAGATTACAGCATTCCGAGGCCCGATAGAGAGTTCCATCGAAGGCGCCCGTGGCTGTGACCACATGCGTCCGCGCACGAGAATACAGCGCGACGTGGCCCCACGGGAATCTCCACCGAAGGCCCCAGTGGTTGTGACCACAAGCGCCCGCGCACGAGATTACAGCGTGTCGTGGCCCCATTGGAAACTCCGCCGAGGGCCCCAGTGGCTGTGACCACATGCGTCCGCGAACGAGAATACAGCGTTTCGGAGCCGCGTAGGAAGCTCCACCGAAGGCCTCCGTGGTTGTGACCACATTCGTCTGCGCCACCCAGTACAGGGAACTCCACCAAAGGCTCCAGTGGCTGTGACCACCTGCGTCCGCGCCCTCAGGCGCTCCCCTTGTGCTCCCCGGCGCTACCAAGCACACCCAAGCGCTCCCCGGCGCTCCCAGGCGCTCGCAAGCTCTGGCGTTTCCCAGGCGCTCTCAAGCGCTCTCAGTAGCGCCCCGGCGCTTCCCAAGCGCACCCATTCGTCGCCACCAGGCGCCCCCAAGCGCTCCCAGGCGCTCTCAGGCGCCCCCAAGCGCTCCTAGGCGAGGCGCTACCCAGGCGCCCCCAGGTTCTCCCAGGCGCTCCCGTGCGGTGTCGGACGCCCCCAAACGCTCATGAACGCCAGGCGCTCCCAAGCGTTCCCAGGCGCTCTCCAGGCGCCTTCCAGGCGCTCCCACAAGCGCTCTTGGGCGCTCCCAAGGACATGGGAAAAGTGGATTACCAGCGGGTGCCCCGTTTTCGACTTCTTCAAGTGGCCTACGTCATCCCACTGACTCCTTAGAAGTAGCGAGTGCTTGCGACGATCCTGGAAGTTGTTTGGCGGGTCAGCAGCTTCTTGCATGCATCTGAAAGGCTCGTGGGATGCCTCTCAGGGGCCTCTTGGAGGGCTCTTAGGGGCATCTGGGGGGCCTCTTGGACCTTGTTTGGGACCTCCTGAGGGCTTCTTGGGGACCCTTGGGGGCCTCTTGGGGCCTCTTGCAGGCGCCTTCGGGGAGTCGGGGGGGCTCTTGTGGCCATACTGGGGAGAAGGGCTCGAAGTGTAATTTCGTATCCCCCTTCTTGGGGCCCTTTTGTCGGGGCCTTCTTAGGCCGTCATGGGGCTCTCTTGGGGGCCTCATTGGCCGTCTTGGGACGATCTTGGGAACCCCTAAGGTCGTTTTTGACGGTGTCAGGACGAAGAAGGCGAGCATGCTAAGAAAGTACATTTTCTCAAGGGAATGTGGGGGCCTTCCTCGACGGTCCTCTGGGAGCACTTTTGGTCCGTCTTGGGCGCCTAGTGGGCCGTCTCGAAGCTATCTAGGGTCGTCGTGGGGCTACCTAGGGCGATCTTGACGCTTTCTTGGGCTGTTTTGGCGCTCTGTGTTGGACCTAATGCGCCGTCTTGGGATTCTGGAGGCTCCGGAGGCCCCGGGGATGCGTTTGGGAGCTCGTCCCCCCCTGTATCCCGCTCCTCAAACTCGGCGCCGAGCGAGGGGGGGAAATGAGAAGGGGAAGGCCTTCTCAGAAGGCGGCGGGACTTCTCAGAAGCCCTGGCGCCTTCTGAGAAGTTTTCTGCGTCTTCGGGAAAGGCTTAGACAACTTCTCATAAGTCCGGAAGACTTCCGAGCCTTCTGACAAGGCCCGCCCCTTCTCACTTCCCCCCCGGGCTCGCCGCCGACAAACGGCATTTTGGAACCCAGGGGAGTGGGAAAGGGGAAGGGAGACAGGGGACAGCCAAATGTCTCACGCGCCTTTTCGCCCCTGGCAAGCGTGGGCCGGCGGATTTCATCATTTGTTTGTAAATTTCTCAATGGGCATTCCAGTTTTACAACGCAGAGTCGCGTGCATCGGTCTTGTCAATGTGGCAGACTTGCGGGGTTTCACCGACTGCGGGCAGTTTCACGACGCACCTTGTGCTCCGCTCCGCAAGTATCCAGACTGCTTCTCTGCATGGCCGCCACGAAGCCAGCCTTCTGTGAGCTGCGTGAAGGCCCCGCCGCAACACTGGAACAGGGGGGTTTTCTGGCAGGGCTGCAGATGCCCACCAGGGCACGCGGGCTCCTTGCCCCACCCACCCCCTCCCCCCTCCTCCTCCTCCTCCTCCTCCTCCTCCTCCTCCTTCTCCGCCGTCCTTCTCCTCCTCCTCCTCCTCCTCCTCCTCCTCCTCCTCCTCCTCCTCCTCCTCCTCCTCCCCCTCCCTCGCCCCCGTGCCCTGGCCCACCTGCCCAGCCACGCGCGCTGGCCGCCGAGCCGTGGGGCCCAGGTTGTGTCGCCTGCGCTCGGCGCACCACCCGGGCCCCCCATGCGGTTCATCCATGCGCAGAGTGCTGCCAGTCATCGGCATCGGGCAGCATGGATTACAGTCAGCCATGATAGTAGGGATGGGGCAGCTTTCCAAGGCTACCCTTGCATCCGTGCCCCTTCGGTATTCGGCATGCTTCGGCATTTTGCTGCGCTCTGCACGGAAAACGTCAACATGGCGTTCCAAGGCCTTTGCAGCATCCTTACCGCGCATCCTCAGTATCCTGGTCGAGTGTAGCGGAGCGGCCTGGGGACCAAGCAAAGAAGATTGTGATGCACTCGACAGGGGCCAGGGTCCATCTCACTAATCCATGGATGCAGCCCCCTGGGTCCATACCACTGATCAATGGATCGCGGCCCCGTCCGCCCAGACGGCGGCCGTCAGGAACGGGTGGAGTTGCGCAGTGCTGCTGGCCTCGCCCACGAAATCCGCGGTCGCAAGCTGACGCGGTTGTGCGGGCTCGCGTAGGCCGTGCGTGGCCGCGTCGCAGCAGGGATTGGAAATGGTTTCGGAAAGCCCGTGACCACCGTGCGCGGATCGCAACCAACCGCAATGCAAAAACAGCGCACCAGGAATCAAACGGCATCGTTGTGGCGCTCCGCCACGGGGTGGATGTGTCGACCGATTGCTAGTTTTGCTTATGCCCCCACCCTTGCCGGCGTCGCAGATCCACGGATCACTCGTCCATGTGAGCGTTTGCCTGCAGTTGGTTTCGGTCCCGCCGCCAGGTGCTTTCCTCGATACAATTCGAAGCAGACCAAACCAGCAGAAACATAAGCTTAAGTCGGGCACGTCCCTTTACAGGAGGAATATTCAAAAATAGTAAAGGATAGTCTGCGGACGATTATTTTAGTATTTTTGAGCATTTGTGGGGCAATTTTTGACAATTTTTCTGTTTTCGTCCAAAATCCGCCTGTAGGGAAACACGCCGGACCCAAACATAAGCCTTTGGCCGCGCGGATTCCTTGGATCTGCGCTGGGCAGTCGGCGCCTCCGGCGCCGCCCCCTGGCGCGCTCCTCGCGCCAGGGATGGGGGTGGTCCAGCGCGGATCCAAGAAAGCCGCGCGGAGCGCCAGTAGTTTATGTTCAACATTTATGTATATGTGAATGTGTATGTTTGTGTTTCTGGTGTTTCTGTTTGTGCCTATGTCTATCCATATATATATACATATATTAAATAGTTTCTGGTTGTGTTTATAGCGTTTTTTCTTCCCCTGTGTAGCTGGTTTCAGCCCCGCCGTCAGTCGCTTTCCTCGATACCACGGCCTCTCTGGCGCCTCCCGAGGTCGCTATCGCGGCTGCAGGTGCCCGCGAAGTTCGTGAGCTTCGAGTACGCCGCCAACGTCTGGCAGGAGCGCCTCGGGCCCGTCGTTGCGGGGCTGCACGCGTCCGGAGGGGAGGGGCGGTATGCGTGTGGGGGGGAGCTTGCTGCTGCTGCTGCTGCTAATGATGATATGATGATGGTGGTGGTGATGGTAGTGATGATGATGATGCTGCTGTTGCTGCTGCTGCTGCTGCTGATGATGATGCTGTGATGGTGGTATTGATGATGGTGGTGATGGCGATGGTGATCATGATGCTGATGATAATGATGCTGCTCATACTGACGATTCTGATAGTGATGATGGTGATGATGATGATGATGATGTCGACGACGAGACGGATGATGCTGAATCTCATGATTCTGATTAGGATGATGATGCTGCTGCTGATGATGGTGGTGGTGATGATAATCATAACGATGGTGGTGATGGTGATGGGGATGGGGGTGATAATGCTGATGCTGATGATCATGATGGTAATGCTGGTGATGATGATGCTGATGATGATGCTGCTTATGCCTATGATGGTGATGAGGATGATGATTATGCTGATGCTGATGATCATGATAGTAATGCTGCCGGTGATGATGATAATGATGCTGCTGAACAGGATGATGATGATGATGATGATGATGCTTCTGATGATGATGATGATGGTGGTGATGATGATGATTGTTACTGGGATCCGGATGATGCTCATCATGCAGATGATGACTACGACGGAAGTGATGATGTTGCTTACTATGCTGATGGTGATGATGGTTGTGATGCTGCTGATGATGCGGTGGTGATGGTGATTATGATGGTGATGACGACGATGATGATGGTTGTGGTTCTGGTGGTAGTAACTACTGATTGTGATGATGCTGGTAATGATAATGATGGTAAGGTTGACGATTGTCGCGATGGTGGAGACGATGATACTTCTGATTATGGTGGTGATAATGTTTGTGCTGGCGGTGTCGACGAGGCCGGCGACGATGACGACGACGATGGTGGGTATGATGATGATGGTGGTGGTGGTGGCGATGATGGTGGTGATGATGAATATGATTAAGATGAGGATGATGATGTTGATGATGCTGCTGATGCTTCTGATGATGACGACGATGATGAGGATGATAATGATGATGATGATGATGATGATGATGATGATGATGATGATGATGCTGATCATGATGATGATGATGATGATGATGATGATGCACCGCGCCAGGTTATCCGCCGGCAGCACGAATGCAGCGGAGCTCCCCGCCGCCAGCCGCCCAGAGACAATGCCCGAGCCAGATCCTGGCGCAGACGCCGACAGCGCACCCTCCGACCTTCCGACTCTTTGCGAACGAGCCCATTCAAGGAGCAAATGTGGTTGAACCCTGGATGATATTGATACGCATAGCTAACAGCACAATCGAAGGCCCATTCTGAACACATACGGTTCGCTGGACTGGCGGGCAGTCGAAGGCAACGCAAACAGCGTTAGGTTGTCCGCGTGGCGACCACAGGAAGCGACTCTTGGATGCAATGGATGCTGTTGTGGGGCCCGTCGGAGAATGACGAGGGGCATGCGCGTCGGTTCCCTGGCATACCGAAACAACGATAGGCTGATGATATTCTATAGATATATACATACATACCTTACAAGCTGCGCGGTCCCAGACAGGAGACCCAGTTCAGCTCGGACGTTGAAACAGCATGTTGGCATATGTTCCACATTGTCCTTAATCTGGATGTTCTTCATTCCGCACTCGTCTTCAGTGGGGCGTGTCCCCCTACAGGAGGAATGTTTAAGAATAGTGTAAACAAATAGTCTGGTGACGATTTTTCGTGCTCCGTTGGCTGCTTCTGATAATTTCTTGATTATCAGTTTAAATATTTTTGCGTCCATCAATACGCCTGTAGGAGGACATGCCCGACCTAGCTCTCGTTCCCTCTCCCTGGCCCTCTCGCCTCTGGCCGTGGACTTGCTGGTGTCCCCAGGAGTTGTGCCCCCGATCATTCGAGAGTCTTCGAAGAACAAGAAGCGGCATATACATAATTTCTTGGCGGTCAGCGCGGATTTTTTGGATCTGCGCTGGGACCCCCTTGGCGGCGCCTCCGGCCCCCTCCCTGGCGCGCTCCGCGCGCTGGAGAGGGGAGCCCAGCGCAGATCCAAGAAGTCCGCGCGGACTGTCATAAGCTTAGGTTGTTGCCTTGTTTCTCTGTGTATCCCCTCGCCCTGGTATTCTGCCAGCCTCGTTTTTTTTCCAAAGAAGAACAGGTCGAGGCGCCAGGAGTTCATGCGATCGGGAGCACCGGCCGCGGCCGAACCAGCCGAGGCCGTACAAGCCTATTGGCTGAAACCGTCTTTCTCCGAGATTCGTTTCACTCTAACTTTACCCCTGCTGCTCCCTGGACCGCGCAGCCGCTGAAGGTGGGTGATGCATGCGTCCGGAGGTGAGTGAGTCTGAGCGCGAGATGTCTGAGTATGAACGCCTGAGTATGTGTAGGCGTTCTTGCTCGGGCCTCGCCGGCCAACCGTTTCTGTGGAGTGTTCGTTGGGAGAACAACGCAACGTGAGAAATGCGAGCTCGCGATTGCGCCGCCGCTTGCGCTTTCTTCGAGGAGCGCAGGACATGGCAGGGCCTGCCGAACATGAGCAAGACTTCGCAGGGCTATCTTCGCTCTGTGTGGTCTCGAACTCACCTTGGAGGCTCTTTGCAAACGTTTGTGAACTTTTGCAAACACGTCAGGGGTCAATCTGGGTGACTTCTGAACACGTCTGTTGGAAAAGAAGCCAAATGCAGCCTGGCGGCGCTCTGGAGGAACTTTGCAAACGCCTGTAGGCACTTGGGAAGCGCACTCCAGCACTTTCCGTCAAATTTGAAGCTCTCTGCGAGTTGCGTGCGAGTTTTTGCCAGCAGGTTGGACGCGCTTTTGGGCACGTTTGGCCTTTTCCGGGGGCAGTTGTTGGAAAAGCGGCCCCGAGCATTTTGGAGGGGCTGGAAGCGCATTGCGAACGTTGGCGGGTACCTAGAAGCATTCTCGGGCAATTGTGGGCACTGTCGAAGCACGTTGCGACCGTTTGCGGACGCTTGCAATCATTGTGGATGTTTTTGTGCAGTTGTATTTGTGAAGTACGTTTGCATCACTTTGCGAACGTTTGCGAGCACTTCGGCGGAATTGGTGGACAATGTTGGGCACCTTTTGGGCACTTTGGAAACAACGTCGTGCATTTCTGGCACTTTTCAAACACCTTCGCGCACGTGTGCGAACGTTTGCAATCGCGTCGGAGGCACCCATGGACACTTGTGTGCACTTTTGGGCAAGCTTGTTTGGGAAGTCTACATCGGTAGCCACAAGTGCCAAGAAAGTGCCTCCAACGTGCGTGAAAACGTTCGCAGGTGTCGCAACAAAAAAGTGCCCAGAAGTGATTTTACAGTGAATGCAAGCGTCTTGAAAGCGCCTCCAGAATGCTTTCGGCGAATATGCTCGCAAACGCTTGCGAACGTTCGCGAAGCGTTCCCCAAAGTGCCCGGCATATTCCGGAAATGCTTCCGAAGTACTTGCGAACGTTCGCAATCGTTCGCAATATGCCGCAACAGTGCCCCGATGTGTTTCCGAAGTGTTTGCCAACGTTCGCGGAGCGCTTCCGAAGAGCGCTTTGGGTACTCTTCCAGGAAGTGTGTTTCAAAGTGCCTAACGTGTTTCCGACGAGTTCGGAAAAGGTTCGCAAGCTTTCGCAAAGTGTTTGCACAATGCCCAACAACCAAGGAGGAGGACGATGAAGAAGAGGTGGTGTAGGAGGAGGAGGAGGAGGAGGAGGAAGAACAAGAGGATGAGGAGGAGGAAGAACAAGAGGAGGAGGAAGAGGAGGAGGAGGAACAGGAAAAGAAGGAGGAGGAGGAGAAACGGGAGGAGGATGTGGAGTCGGATTCGGAGGAGTCGGACGAGGAGGAGGAGGGGGAGGAATGAGGAAGGGAAAGGGGGGCGGCGGATGGTGGAGCGGCAGGAGGGCATGTGGCAGGAGGGCGACGAGGAGGAGAAGGAGGATGACGAATAACGGAGGAGGACGATGACTACGGTAGGGTGCGAGCAAAAACAATTGTGATGGCACTGATAATACCAGCAGCAGCGGCAGCAGCAACGGTTAGTGCCACGCCGCTCGGGGAACGATATACTACGAGATGGGTCTACTATTTCTTCGGGTCGAAAGCGCCTGCAAGGAGGGCAAATAGTATTGGTACGGTAGAGGGGAACAATTAGTGAACACCCTCCTTGCCCCCCAAACTCAAGGTTGGCACGCGCGGGGGAGACTGCGGTCGAGGTGCAACTCATCAGACCCACCGCCAACTTTGAACACGGGGGGGGGGGGGGGCGGCGTCCGTCGGGGGGCCTGGCGCGGACCCCGGGGCCGTCGGGAGTCGGCGTGGTCGGGGGCGGCAAAGAGGGGGGTGCTGACTAGGGGGGGGGGATATCGTGGCGTGGGCCATGATATTTCCCCAGATTTCAAGGCGCCCCTTCTGGTTTCAATGCGTCCCTGGCCCTCCCCTGGGCCGCGCACGTGCCGCCGCCCATGATTTGCGCCCCCCGTCTTGGACACCCGCCTCTTGGCCGCTCCCGAGGTTTGGGATGAACCATTTGCCAGGGTGGACGTTGGGAGGTGTCTGGGGATTCAATTTTTCCCCCTTCGGCTGCAGCGGAGGTGGAGGAGGAGGGGGGGGGACACGGGTCCGGAGTCTGATTTATGTATGTTTTGGACATTGTTTCGGGGTGTTGTTTTTTCAATGCTTTTCCGGCTTCCAGAAGCGCCGGGAGAGGACGGGAAGAGGAGGGGCGCGCGAGAGGGCGGAGGCGGAGGCGGGGATGGTCATGTGGAGGAGGAGGAGGAGGAGGAGGAGGAGAGGAGGAGGAGGAGGAGGAGGAGGAGGAGGAGGGGGAGGAGGAGGGGGAGGAGGAGTAGGATGGGAGGAGGAAGAGGAGGAGGAGGAGGAGGAGGAGGAGGGGAGGAGATGGATGTAGAGGGTTTGGGATGGGGATGGGGGCCTCCTGGGGGTGTTAGGGCGGGGGCGGCAGGCTATTTCTGCTTCCTGGTGACGAACGAGCGCCTGTTCCCCATATCTGGGCCCTTCTGGGACGCCGTCTACGAGCTCCCGATGTGGAGCAACGTGCTGTGCGGCCAGGAGACACCGCGCGACAGTCGAGCCAATCCCGTCCTCCCCCTCCTCCTCCTCCTTCTCTCTTCCCCCTTCTCCCTCGCCTCCCCCAGGAGGAGGAGGAGGAGGAGGAGGAGAGGAGGAGGAGGAGGAGGAGGAGGAGGAGAGGAGGAGGAGGAGGAGGAGGAGGAGGAGGAGGAGGAGGAGGAGGAGGAGGAGGAGGAGGGGGGGGGGGATGAGGAGGAGGAGAAGGAGGAGGAGGAGGAGGAGGAGGAGGAGGAGGAGGAGTTGGAAGAGGAGGGCGAGGACGAGAACGAGGACGAGGAGAACATAAGAGGATGAGCAGCAGAGGGAGCGGAGGGGGGGGGATAGTGGATTGGGTTGGGTGAGGCTGGCAGGTGCGCCCTATGATTCTTAGCGTGCGACGACCAGAACAACCTACAGCTGTCCGACATCGGGGACACCTGTCCCAGGGTGGATTGAACTTATGGGATGTTTGCTTACACGGGCACTGTGTTCACTCTTTGGGCTGTGGAGGGTGGACCTCATGTATTCAAGAACGAGATGCCTCTCAGTTGTGACCATGCATTCAGCGCCGTGTCTGTGACCTTGACTTCTGCGCCGTGTCTGGACGACCCCCAATGAGTGTGTTCCATCAGCTCACCTGGAGGCCCCGCCTCGCGCGACAGACACGCAGACGCCAGGGCGGATGGACAGTGCATTCCCCTGCGGCTTCACGTGTGGGTACACACCTTCCAGCCGCCCTGGGGCCTGCGTCCCCGATGGCGGAGCGGTTCGATTTACGGACCCCCTTGGATCCATTTGGACCCGATCGATCCGACTCGACGTCGATGTCGGCTGGCTCGGCCCGGTTCGATTGCAGGATTCCTGCACTCCGATGCGGCCAGGCGCCCGCATGGTCCCGCTGTGCGCTCGGGCGCGGCAGGAGGGCGACGCCGACCTGGACGCGCTCCTGCAGCTCCACTCGGGCGCAGTGGGCCTCTGGCCGATGATCGCGGGGGCCTCGGGCCGCGGGCTCGCCTCCTCGAGGGGGTGGGGAGGATGAGGAGGAGGAGGAGAAGGAGGAGGAGGAGAAGGAGGAGGAGGAGGAGGAGGAGGAGGAGGAGGAGGAGGAGGGGGAGGAGGAGGAGGAGGAGGAGGAGGAGGAGGAGGAGGAGGAGGAGGAGGAGGAGGAGGAGGAGGAGGAGGGGGGGAGGGGGAAGAGGGGGAGGAGGAGGAAGGGGGGGGGGAGGGGGGGGGGGAGGGGGAGGAGGAAGGGGTCCGTAGCCATTTTGGCTCAAGCCTATATCTGGGATCTCTGACCCCACGGCTCGGGGCGCCTGGGGCAAGCAGCCCGCTTTTCAGGCTCGCTTGGGATGTCTGCTGGCCAACGTGTTATCGCCTCACGCGTAATTACCTTCCACGGTTCTGAGACTGTTGGTGTTCTGTCGTAGCAGAACGGCGCCAGAAGAGTTGTGCAACCACTTCTCTTCTTGCGCAATGCCCAAGCCCGACAGCGCAGGTCTCAAGCCCCTTGGCGGGAGCGTGGGTACAGGGACGAGGCCCAGGGAAAAAGTAGTGCTCGTGGCACGCGGGGACCCCCGCCGCGGCGCCAACCATCCCGCGGAGCCTTGCAGTGAGGAGGGACGAAAGGGTACCCTGGCGACGCCAGATGGCAGTGCGGGGTCTGTGGTTGTGGGAGAAATCCGGGTCTTACACGTATTGCAAGCACTGCTTCGAGTGGAGAGCGGAGGCCCCGACTGACATCACGACCTTGACTCTTCCTAGCAATGCTGACGATAGTAGCTTATCAGACGTCCAGAGGAGCAGCGCGGCTAGCCTTGTCGGTCCAAGGCAATGGGCCCCAGCCCAGTCCCCCCCAACCTCACGGTGGAGGGGAAGCTGTACGGCGGTTCCCCGCTTGTCTCCGAGCTCGAAGATTTCATCTGCATCCGCATGGCCGAGAAGCTTGGTGACATACTTATCGTGGAAAATATGCGAAGCAGCTTGAGGAACTCAAGCGCGGGTCAAACCTCGCAATGCAGGAGTGCAGGAGCGAGCCCAACAGTCACATGCTAGAGTCCAGAAGCTCGAAGAACTCTTGGCGGTGGAATTTGGCTAGCTCGAGTTGTATCAAGGCTTCGTTGAGACTTTGTCGGGATGCGTGCGCAATGTTGAGAGCACCCTTCAAGAAGATCGTGAAAGGTTTGCCGGGATCGTGTCCGAGTTGGTGTTCGGTGGCGCAGCAGGAACCCGCAACTAAGCTCAAGGTCTCGGTGGCAGACGTGCTGGACTGGACAAGTGACGTCACCAGCCTCATTGTTTTCGACAGTTTCTTCGCAGTGGGTGGTGAACTGGAGCTCGCCCCAGATGATGAACGCGAAATGGAGCCGAGAAGGTGCCAGCGGCGTGTCCAGATGCAGGCAACATCGAGTCGCCCGCTCAAGACCGCAGTGGAGATGGTCGAGAGCACCAAAGCGGAGCGCGCCAATCACGCCCATCGGCTTCGACGCAAGCGGGCCAGATAGGTCCTCCTGAGCGTGAGACCGGGCCTGGTGGAGCAGGGGAATGTGAAGAGAAAGCAAGGAGCACCACCAGGAAGAGGAAACGTCGACAGGTCCTCCGGTTCTCTTGAGGAGTACCTGGACAAACGAGGAGGTGATGCGGCGGCGTCAGCTTCAAAGTCAGCCCCAGGATCAAGTTCGTCGCCCAGCATTGCTCAGACAGGGAAGGCGGCGTTCGCTCCTCAAGACGTTTGGTCTAGGACCTCCCAGGCCCTGGGCGCAGCCGAGCTTGCTGAGGGCCATGGCAGTGGCGAGGCAGCAGCAGCAAGAGCAGCAGGTCAACCGCCGAAAGGTGTATCCCATCCTGTGGGCCGCGACGGGGTCCGTCCGACGGCCTGGATTTCGAGGCTTCGCGCGAGGGGCCCTACGTGCATTCGGATATCAACTTGTATGTGCTGGACGGGGGCGCGGAGATGTCGGAGGTGGACCCGTCGTCGCCAGCTTCGCCATCGTCGCCCCCTTTTCGCCGTTGGCGCTGCCACCCTTCCCCGACCCTGAGCAGACTGCCTCGCTGGAGCAGAGCACCTCGAGCTACGCTCGCGTTGGTCGCGCGTTCAGACTCGAGAAGCAATGCAAGTCAGCAGGGGGGGGGGCGTGGAGTGGGCCCAGGGGGCCGTCGGCAATGGGGGCGGTGCTGCCCGCCAGTGTAGCAGGGTCCCTATCGTATGGCAGCCGGCCGCCGGCGCGCCGCGGCCCCCCGCCCCCCGCCCCCCGCCCCCCTGGGCCAGGGGCCCCCATGGGTTTGGCGCGAGGAGCTGAGGAAGAAGTTCGGGGAAGCTTGGGCTCCAGCTGACGAGACGTTCAGCGCCCCTGATGCCGCCGGGCTTGTCGGCTGCTCGAGGGGGCCGGCCGCCCGGGGGCGGCGGCCCGGTCCTTCGTGCGCCAGCTGATGTGCGCGAGGCGGCCGTGAAGCTCACATGCAGGGCCGGCCTCGTCAGGAGGGAAAAAAACACACAGAGACAATGAATCGTCGATCCCCAGGAACACATGGGGAAAACAAAAAACCCCGGAAATACAGGAAAATATAGGGAATCTTGTTATTTGTGTGTATTTATTTGTGTGTCCCAGGGCCCCTTCACCCTGGGCCCGGCGCCATCCGTCCGGGGGGCCTCGCGAGGGCGTCGGATGGAGCGCTGGAGGCCCTGCGCGATGTGGCATTGGCGCGAGTCTGCTGGGCGCGCCCTCGTCCCCCTCTCACTCGCGTTGGCGGCGTTCTTTCCTGAACTTGATTCGGGGGTGGACAGACCTCCTACCCTGACACGTCAATTGAGGAATTGGCCGTTTTCGCTTCGCGAGAGGGCATCGCGGCCGTCATTTTTGCGGGTCCAGGTCCGTCGGTTTCGGTCCCAGGCCGTTTTCACTAAGGGGAGGTTTACTAAAGGGAGGTTTGTCCACCGCCGATTGAAGGGGGCTTCAGGCCCCTAGGCCGATAAAAGTGTCGCGCTACCTCCTGGCCCAATCGGCCGTCAGACACGGGTTCCCATTGCTTATATTCAGGCTGTTGTTCGCGATGTACCAGGCATTCCGAGTTGCCCCAGATGGGCCAGGTCACCTTGGGAGTCGTTCATGCGGACCAGGGGGTCATCGCGGGGCGCGCGTTCGCCGCCTGTCCGATGCAACTCATCCTCCTGGCCCCTTTCGATGCCATGGGCATCCACTGGCCGGGCACGCGAGTGTCTAGCGTGGCTGGCGACGTCGCGATGTCTGTTGCAGGTGCCACCCGACCGCTTTGGGCGGCCGGTACCAGCCTCCATGTATCTTCTCTCCCAGTTCCAGGGTTTCTTCCATGTCATCTCCAGGGTCAAAGGGGCGCCATGGCCTCGGTCAGCAAGGCGTGGCAGGGAAGTGGCGGGCTAGGCCAAAGTTTAGGGGTTTCGCAGTCAGGCTGCTGCAAAAGATCCGGGTGGTGATTTTTCGATTCGGAGGCGGGGCAGATGCGTCAAGGCTCAGAGGAAGCGTTTTGCTCCCACCGTGCCAAGGACCAGAGGATTCTTTAGAAGACGCTCTTGGGAGCCCTGGTTTTCCTGCGCCCCCCGTGGTTTTCAATGGCGCTCATCCTCTCGTTTTGCTCGTATCCCTCCTTTCCCTCCTGTCTAGAATCCGACGATTGTGGGCCAGCGACGCCGCAGGGGCCAAACGCCCTTCTTGTTTTAGAGCCCGCTGGGGGCCACTGGAGTTGGCGCTGGAGGCCACTGGGGGCCACGGGAGGCCATTGAAGGAGCCATCGGAAGCCATTGAAGGAGCCGTTGGAGGCCGCTGGAGCTTCATTGGATCCGTTAGGGCCACTGGCGGCCTGGATGCCATTTGAGGCCGCAGGAGGCCGCAGGGGGCCACCGGAGGAACCACTGGAGGTCGCTGGAGGCTCACTGGGGGCCGCCGGCTGGAGGCCACTCGAGTCTCACTGGGACTCACTGGGGGCCGCTGCGGCCTCTTTTGGGTCGTGACGGGAGGCTCCCGGGAGCGTCTTCTGGAGGGTTCCGTGGCCTTCGCTCCTCTTTCACAGGAGCTACCTGGGCAGGCAGCACCGGGGCTTGCAAGACTCCAGAGGAACCAGACGGAATCCGAAGCGAGGGAAGGGGTACGAGGAGGAGGAGGAGTATGAGAACGATGATGATGACGATGATGACGATGACGATGACGATGATGATGATGATGATGATGATGATGATGATGATGATGATGATGATGATGATGATGATGATGATGATGATGATGATGATGATGCTGATGATGATGCTGATGATGATGATGATGATGATGAGCGGGAGGAGGTAGAGGATGAGGA